AGATATCTATGTAATTATTGCAATAATTGAAAAGAACCACAATCAAAGAATATTGAAGACCATGTTGGAGCTTCATATAGATTACAACTTTTGAGCCAATTGATGCTATTTTTTTTGCAATCAGCCACCTAATATTAAGAGAAAGGCAATGAAAGACGTTAGGCTAAATAAACTATGGCTGTTAGATCAGACTTCACATTGGAATATATTTTCATGGCCTTTTTAAATTTAATATAGTATTAATTTGATTTATTCGTAGCAAAGATATTTATACCACTAATGTAGTATAATTGGAAGTTACTTGTAAGATATAATTCTAAACTGAGTGGTACTAGAAGATAAGTGATGCTATCTTATCAAATCATCTCACAACAATTGAGGATTCTTTTGTATCAAAAAGCTACTCTATAGTCATTCAAAATCTTACTTTGTGAGTTCTTGCTATATGACAAATTCTTGATTCAATTACACCATGCATAGATGAATTAGGGTTTAAAGATTACATGAAAAGTTGTAGATGAAAATTGATTGAGTTTAGATAATTTCTTATTTGTAAATAAAAATTGATTGAATTGAGATAATGTCTTCTTTGTAGATCAAACTTATTCATAGATGAAAGATTATTATAGATGGAAGTTTTAATTTGGATGAATTTTTTATTAAAAAAATAAATAAAATAAAAAAATAGAAAAAAACATATATAATATGAAACATCATAAAAATAGTTTTTTTAAAAGTGTACATGGCTTTGGTATTATTGTATAGCTTATGTTGTGGATTTTTTATGCTTAATTAGAAATTTAATTTTTTAAAGGAATTAAAATCTCTTAATAAGAAGTACAAAGAATTTTTATTTAATTATTCATAAGTTAATTAGTAGTTGTAGATTAGATGGAATCACTTATTAAGATGGTTTATTTTATATTATAAGTAGAACTTATTTAAATTCCTTATATATTAAATCAAATATTAATCAATAATTATTAGAATATTAAGATAATTAAATTTTTGTGAATTAGAATAGGCTTTCAATTAGTGGGTCTTTATTTTAATTCACACCTAAACAACCATATCGCTTGCCTTTTAATTGAACAACCATATCGCTTGCCTTTTAATTGAAGAAGAATGAGGATTAAATCATGTAAACAATAAAAACATCCATATTGCAGCAAATTCTTAAGTAAGATGCTACAACTACAAAAATAAAAATGCCATGAATGGCATTGTGAAAGCGCCCTAAATGAGAGTGTGCACCCTCTTTGACTAGATCGCAATGTTAGAAAAAACAAATCTTGCCCGAATGCATTGAAGTAGCAACAATCGAGCTTGCAATCAATGAAAGAGCACTCACCTAAAGAAACATACATTAGAAGATGTGTCTTACAATTGGTGTGTCTGCAATGCATCTCAAAAGAATCAGAAGGAAAAAAATAAAATAAAATAAAAAATCCAGGTTGGTCCAAATTCTTATTAGCAGAGAGGCTGCTATAGATCAAGAGCAGCTTATCACCTTTGTGATCATTTTTTCTTTTTGTCTTTTTTTCCTTTTTTTTTTTTCCTTTTTTTTTTTCTTATCTTACTTTTCCTTTTCTATTTCAATTAACTTTATTTCTATTTATTTTATAATATTTACTTGTTTAAACTATTAATATACGATTATTTTCTTTTCTATTTTTTTCTCCTTCTTTTGAGATGTTTGGAATCAAAGAGTTTATCTTAATTTCTAGTCTAATTTAAATATTTAACAAAAATAAAACTACTACTATAAAATCAAAACTTATATTAGCTAAATTAAGGAGAATAATCTATTTTAAAATTTCTTCTTAAAGAAAACTCTTCAGAGATCTATTCTTATAACTGACATTCTATTATTTATTGTTTATGTCAAAATTCCTACCTTAATTCACTAAACTAGTGACTTTTAACACTATAAGTGCATTTTTTGTATTCAACACATAAATGAGTCAATTAAATGACTCACACCCAACTATTTTATATAATAGATATTATAATTATTAGTAATTTTTTCTAAGTAGTTAGGATCTATAAAGATCTTAAGAGATGCATGTGGATTATAACTCTAACTAACATAAGTTGTACAATAATTTTTTATATTAACACATCAAATAAAAACCAATGATAAAAAAAGATACAAATATAAATCAAATTCTTCAAAAACATTACTCTACCATGTGGACCTTTTCTTAATGTGGACTTTCTTTTAATGTGGACATGTTTGTTGAAATAGTCATTATAAAACCAAAATGAACTTTTTTTGCTAAATTCTTGTGATGCTCAAGTCAAGCTTTAATAATTAGGTAATGGATTCTACAATAGAATCATTTGGTAGGCAATTATGGCCTTTAATATTATGGCATGGCAAGTATTCTAAAATTTGGCATACATACCACAAGTGCAATAATTTCATTGCAATCATTTCTCAAATAAGTTATACAAATACAAATTTTCAAGGATTTTGAAATGGGCTGTCAAAAATAGGTCATATTACTTTAATGCAAGTTATCAGATGAATCAATTATAGAAAAGAAGCAGAGGTTTATCTTATTTTATCTTTTTTGAAGAAGATATGCTTGTGATTTTTAAACAACATTGTGAAATACATAATAAAATAAAATAAAATAAAATAAAAAACACTAATCCATCAATGGAATCTATTATAATAGATTAAAAGAATTGTATTATTCTTAAAAAAAATCTATGATGTATTCTTGATCTTTATATAATTTTAATAAGATACTAATAACAAAAGCTTTTCTTGGATGAAATCGAATTAAAATGTATATATATATATATATATAATTTTATTTTTTTAAGTGTAAAGAAAAAAATATATATTGATTTTAATTGAAAACCTGGACTTGTTAACTTGTTTCATTTAAAATAAAATATTACAAATGAAATTTATGGAGTACATCATCATAAGAGACTTTATTTATTTATTTGTTTATTTAATCCATTTTTTATAAAAAAATTAGCCACAATAAAAAAGTTGTTTAAAAATCACAATGAACTTTCCAATAGTTTGTCACTTGCATCATTTGATTAAGACCAAAGAATTTACAATTCCTGAAAACTCAAAAAAAAAAAAAAAAAAAAAAAAAACACCTTAAAAAAGCAATTGAATATCTTATAAAATTAAACAATTCCTTCTTTAAAACTTTAAAACGAACATGTAATAAGATTTTGATGTTTGTTGTATTACAGTGACAATACAATTAAAGGATGTTCAACCTTCACACATTCAAAAGTCTTAGATGATTCAAATATAAAATTTCTGATATCATGAAATTCCAACTGTTATTTCTAAGTAGAAATCTACAAAAAATCAACAGGTTCACTGGTATATGCTTATTAAAAAGAATCCCTTAAAGGAAGCTGAAAGAAGAGATTATGAGAGAAATCGTATTTATGTTTTATTTTATTAAAGTAAAAAAAAAAAAAAAAAAAAAAAAAAATCATACCTGTGAACGAGTGAAAAAAATATTAAATTGTGGTATGTTTTAGAACATTTAAATGTTTTATTTATTCACAAGTCAAGAAATAAAATCATTGTTTTTGGAAGTAACACAAGAGTTATACACTGTGTGTGTGTATTTTATTATGTCTAGTACAACATACATTTAGAAAATATGTAGTGGCTACTAATTAAAAACTTCTATTTATTTTAGTTCTTTGTTGGTAAACATATGTGGTTTTGATATATATATTCTTACTTTTTATTTGATTCAATAACAAAAGTATGTACATGTTATTTACATGATACAGTTATATGTATATTTAAATTAAATTAATTGAACCTTAATTTGATTAAAAAAAATAAAATTCATGTTACATGTTTGCTTTGAGGTGAAATTATGTTTTCATCTCAAAGCTTTAATTAATTATATATATATATATATATATATATATATTATTTCAGAGGTAACATCACATAAATATGTAAATTTCCAATTATTTATCATAAACAAGATTATTTCAGATTCACTATCAACAAATACATAAATAAACCCATAAAAAAAATTAAAAATTAAAGAAACAAAGAATAATATAAGAAATATCAAAACTCCTTTTTTTTACCTTTTTTCACAAAAAAAATTCACATTGACATGTTAAAGAAACGTACACACACACAACTTCATGCATGTGGAAAAAGTAATACACCAAAAGTTAAAGTTGAAGTTAAAGTTGAAAGTTACGAAAGTGACCTGTATGCCGATTGTGTAACACAAACGAACCAAGAGGAGCAAGCACATGGAAGTGGCACGCCAGAATGGGTTCCCGTGCACGTAAGCAAGCGGTTCCCTAAGACCACGCGAAGCTAATGACCGAGCGAGAGAGTGAGAGGAGGAGGAGGAGGAGGAGGAGGAGGAGGAGGCACGGCGACGGGGGGGGACCCTTGACCGTGTCAACATGGGGGGCCGTATTAGGTCCTTCCATACCCCAAAGGGAGGAGGAGAATAGAGGAATCCCTTGCTTGCTTGCTTTCTTGTTTACGCCTTCCAAACCCGTTGCGCCTCTTCTGTTGTTGTTGTCGAGGAGGAGGAGGCTACTGTTGCTGCTGTGCTACCATCACCGCTGCCATCGCCTTACATCCAGGTTTCTATAGCGTCCCTCCCTCTTTTCCTTCTGGAAGCCGCTTAGTTCATTTTTCGTGTTATTGCACCTTGTCGTGGCGGTAATGTGATGGCAACCAATTTCTGTCGTTTGTATTAGGCTGCGATGTGTTAGAATTCGTACGACATGTGATGGTGAGCCTCGGGGTCAGAGGTGTGAGTTAGCCTGATGTGCTAGTTTGTGGATCGAGGTATAGTATTGGAACGGGTTTCTGTTAATTTTCTCATATGATGTGTTTTGGAATGGATTGATGATGATGTTGATGGTGATGATGCAGGGAGTTACGTGACTGGAACGGCTGTGTTATTTTTATTTTTATTTTATTTTTGGTCCTTCTAGAGCGAAGGAAGTGGAAGGTGACGTCGTCGTCGTCGTATTTCGGAGAGCAGAAGATGGCCGCGAAGATAAGACCGGTGTATTGTGGGAACTTTGAATATGACGCTCGGCAGTCGGAGATCGAGCGCTTATTCAAGGAGTACGGGAGGGTGGAGCGTGTTGACATGAAGACAGGCAAGTTTGATTTCGCACTTCTGGAAATGCTTTCTATGATCATTTTGTTTTGTTTTGTTTGGGATCTTGCGGCAACCCATCGTGAGCTACTTCGCGTAGGGTTTGTTTTATGGGGGTAAGAGCGTGGCGAACGGAATTGTAGTTGCGACTGTGTGTTGTAACATTCTTTTTCCTCCCCCAGCGATGGTTGCGTTACTTGTGTTTGTGCCATGGAAGCTCGTGTCAGGAGTTTGCATGTAGATATGGGCGGTTCACTTATTCGGAGCAAGCGTATCATTATCATGGCGTTAAGGCGGAGGTTGTAGTCGGTTTATTTCTCTTTCCACATACTTGAGTTTATTATTTGGCGCTACAAGATATTTTAACTTCCTTTTTATATTTTTTTGCGACATACTTATAACAGGTTGTTTTGTTTCTCAGATTTTGTATGGCATACTACTTTCAAACCCGCGGTTAGTAAAATAAGATGTCAAAAGAGAGGTAGTCACAGAACAATTAAATGTTAAGTAATCGATCATCTCGTTTCGTCAAATGATATTATACTCCTTTTTCAGAGTCATTTGAAGTGAAGCACGCTTAGTACTTGATGCGTTTCAAGTACATAATATATCTGTTTTCCGTGGTGTATTCCTTGGTTCCCACTTATTCTCGGAAGGTTTAACAAGGATGCCTTCGGTAAATCTGAAAGGAATTGTGAGTTCTGTTCCTCGTAGTGTTTCAGACTCATTTTTCCATCATCGTAAGGAGGTTAATTATCGGTAGTGTCGAAGAGGATGTGCTTATGAAACACTCTCAATTTTCTTTGAAAGGATCAGTATGGTTTTAATTGCCTCACAATTTTAAACCGATTCTCCAATCTGATGTTTGTTGTAGACACTTGTAAATAACATGTACAAGATGGCTGGGTCATGGGTGTAATTATCGTAGTTTCTCAAAGATGGGTGTGTTACCGCAGGCATGAGCATGAAGAGCATGGCAGCTCTCTTGCTGGCAGTTTGGTTGAGGATATTCCATTACTACATGGCTCCTCCTGCCAACATTGACTTCATTTATGTCATCAGAACACATCAGAACAGTTCCTGCCCTAGCCATCAGCAGTCATCATCTTGTCATCAGTCATCAGATTTTCTCCTTCTCTAATGCAATGGGTGGCAGCTCTATGACAACGTTTTGGCTCCTCGTGTGTGCGCTCAAGGCATGTGCCTAAGTTTTCATCACTGAAATCTACTTCAGCACCGATTTTCGCCTCAGCTTGTCTCTATCTCCGCGTGTGCTTCATCTAGAATTGCACTGCGGCAAACGTTCGAGATCGACATGATTGTGCAAGCTTGGCTGTCCCTTATGTCTTTGTCAACAATATACTCCTGACTTTCCTTTGTGCAGACAACAGGCTGTGGCCAGGTGGCTATCGACTATTCCTCTTAAAGTAGCTGATGCGTAACTAAAGATTCCTAAGGGGGTGCTTGTATTGTTTTTTACCTTAATTATCGTGGGCTTGGTTTCTAATACGTTTCTAACGTTCCTACTGTGGCCCCTTTCTTCCTCCGCGCGTTGTTTGTGGTTGCTTATGCCTGGAGTTTGTGGGTGCTTATGCTCGGTGTTTGGTTGCACAGGATTTTCGTTTATCTACATGGAAGATGAGCGTGATGCAGAAGATGCTATTCGGCACCTTGACAACATGGAGTTCGGCCGGCAACGCAGGCGGCTCTCTGTGGAATGGGCCAAGGTAACATGGCAGTCCAACATGATTGTTCAAATGTGCAGTTTCTGCTACATGTCGGAAAGCAGTTTTGCGTAATGTTATATGTGCTGTATTGGGAAGTCCTTTGGGTAATGTATAAGAGAACATCAGTAATTTAACGTCATGACTTTCTATCGCTCTCAGCAAGGTGATGGTGCAATTCGTAGGCGAGAGGATGCCCGCAGGAACAACACAAAGCTGCGTCCTTCAAAGACCCTGTTTGTTGTGAATTTTGATCCTATCAACACACGAGTACGAGACCTGGAACGACACTTCGAGCCTTATGGGAAGCTTGTGCGGGTGCAAATACGGAAGAATTTCGGGTTTGTTCAGTATGAGACCCAGGATGAGGCCACCAAAGCCTTAGAATCCACCAACATGAGGTAACATATATATAGCGCTGATGGATGTAGAGTTGCTCGTAAGTTGCGAGGACAGTTGGCAAATGTAATATTTCTTTCAAGCCCTATTTTTACGCTAAAAATCTATTTGCATGACTTGAGCTGGGACGGCCTGTTGCAGCAAGGTGATGGATCGCGTAATCACAGTGGAGTATGCAGCTCGTGAAGATGGTGAACCACCATCTAGTGGTCGGGGTGGTAGTCCCAGTCGGTACAGAGGATCCTCGAGAGGCAGCCCATCTTATGGACGCGATCGAAGCCCTGTCCGAGGAAGTGGACGAAATCGCAGGTATGAGGCAGCTACCTCTTGCATTTCGAAAATATGCAGCTTTCATATATCTCCCAGCTTGGTATTTTCATACGAAATCTCACAAAGTTGGGCATTCCGAAACGAATACAGCCAATCCAGTAGCCACAATTAATGCAGCTAACCACAACTCAACTTTTTATCCAATCTTTTTTACTCTGAAGGTTTCTTTGTGCTTAGCACCAAAAAGTTACCATATCCTCTCAACATGCTTCTAATACTGAATTCTTATATTCTGTAGTCCACCTGCCCGAGGTCGAAGCCGATCCCCTGATTACCGCCCATATGCTGGATCTAGGCGTTGAAGCGGCACAGAACGATTCTCTGACCAGAACAAACAGCAACTATTTGTTGAGGGATTTAGGAGTTGGACTGCATATGTCAATTTGTTGTTTGTTGTGGATAAGCAGTGGCACGGAGGTCATGTATTGGGTTTATGTCAGGTACTCTTCCAAGATAGATTAGAATGAGTGCAGCTAGATTTTAGACCATCTTAGTACACTTGTTGGACCTGGGATTATCTTCATGGGGTACTTTTAGATTTTAGATTTCATTGTCATTGAAGGCAGCTTCATTATCGCATGTAAATTTTTATATTGCAATGTTCTGCAGGCAGTTTTGGGTGCATTACAGCTTTTTTACAGTGTTAGTCTCAATGTGTGCTGGTTACCGTGCATCATTTCTTCAGGTTTTTTTGAGGTTTCGATGGCATGCATTTTACCTCTGGTGTAGGGGGCTTCATTGAACATTCGTCATATATTACATGTGAGAAATGGCAGCATTAGAAATGTTCAAATGGAGATGCTTTGTAACCATGTATGCATCACCGTGAAATTAGGAATGCCCAGATTAATTCACACATAATCCAGTGTACATGCTTGATGAACGAGTTCCTGCCAGTATTGCATAGATGGGTCGGTCCACTAGTGAGTTCGAAGACACAAACCGTGATCCAAGTCGTTGACGAGATACGAGTCACAGTCCTTAAGGACAGACCTCACTGTACATTGTCTTACCAAAGAAAGACTGTCCAAAACGCTCTGGTCCTCAGAATTTCTCTAGAGTAAGGAGCACGTGAATCCTTTCGAGTATGACTTCTGTGAAATACATAGCTTGAATCAGTATAGTGCCACCGTCTCCCCAGCCACTGATGGTTCTTGCAATGCTGGGGATGACGGACAAATCCTCCACAATGAACCATGTTCCTTCTGGTGAAGGATACTGTTTTCTGTGGCCTGCTGCATTCTGGTAGGTGCAATATTTCATGTCACAAACTCATGACCTGAGAAGATTGTTCGTATGGATGGATCAGTTTCTTCAACTTGCAGCAACCTGAATACTGCTACTACCAAGGAGACTTGTTATTAGTAGATGCAATTACCACCATTTAGAATACTTCTTGTGTGCTCAAATTTGTGTGCTAATTAGTCTTCTAGACTAGAGCATATATCAATTGATAATATTTTGTGGAAGAGTTTTTTTTTTCATGTCTCAAAATTGTCTTCAAGTCATATGATAATATCTTATTTCATGTCTTGTGATAATATTTTGTGGAAGAGCTTCATAGACATGACTTTGTCTTTATACATGTTTATAGGTGATAGATAGGTTGATCACTTGGCCAACAACTTGATTACTTATTACACATGCTAAATACTTGTTATACAAATTGGACATGTGGGACACACATGGAAAACTTTTCTTGCAAATTAAATATGCATTTTGGAAGTTAGACACTTATAAGAGGTCTTATAGAATGTTGCCATGTAGCTCCTAGTTAAATAATATATATAAAAGCAAGAATAAGGCCTTCTTCAACTCTTTTCTTGCTTCTACTCTAGTTTGAAGAGTCTCTAATTTTCTTGACTTTTGATAATATCCATTCCATTTTCTTCTTAGTTATATATATATATATATATATATATATATAATTCTTTCTTTTGAAAACCTCTCATTTGTTTATTTACATACTTTGAGTTCTTCTTGTTATTTTTTTAGGATCAAGTGCTGCTACTGCTGGTTGCAATTTTTTCTGTTCTTGCACAGTGTGCGGAGAGCTATTATGCGATGAATCCGTTGAACTCTTGATTTTTTTGTGTTGTTGATCTTGGTAAAATTGATGTTTGGATTCCGTCAACAAGCTACTCCTTGTAGCAAGTGATAAGAGCAAGCTGGTGTCGGCGGTCTAGCTCAAAATCATTTTTTTTAATCCTTGTTCCTTGGCGGTGATCAAGGGTATACAACACCGGTGTGGAAGCAAGTGGTGCTAGTGTTTCCCTCGTTCCCTCTTGCGTGGTTCTACATTCAAATCACGGTGCTGGTGGAGTGCAGCGCTGCAAGGCCTCCCTTGTTGTTGGGTGTGCTGCAGTGTAAGGATGAAGCTTCTTGTTTTTACTTCGATTCCAACGCTGCAATCCTTCTTCCATTTGTGCTATGTTCAGAAGTGTCGGTTGATTGAGCTCCGTCCTAGTGTCTCCGTTTTTGTGTTTTGAAGCGGCGGGTTTTGGTTGCGACTGGGTGTCAGAGGACCGCCAGCATCTTCCGAAGCAGTGCAGCGACCTCTCTCTCTCATTTTGGTGTTTCTTTCTCGGATCTGGGAGCTCCATGAATGCTGGACATTGTGGCTGTAGGTTTTTGAGGTGTGCAGCATTGTGGCGCCTTCCCCGTCTTGTTCGACGCTGTGCATCTTGGCAGCCGTGGTTAATGCGGGGAGAAAGCAGCCAAGATATTTGTGTGGTTGCAGAAACGGAACGACACTTCCTGTTGTGGTCGGCAACACAGCTGCAAGCTGATCCATGCAAGTCGAGTTAGACTCGTGAACTATAGCAACAATCAAGCTCTAGTATTGAGCAAAGAGGAGTTACAACACTCCATGCTTTATCACCAGCGGTAGAGTGCAGCAGGGCAAGCTATTTTCAAGCTAGGATCCAATACAAGAGTTCGCCAAGTCAAGGGAGGGTCATCAAAGTTGCGAGAGATTTGACATAGCATTAATAACGATTTCACCAGCGAATGAGAGCAGCAAGGGCTCGGTTAATATGGCTTCTCGATTGCAGACCAACTCATCATCAAAATTTCGAATCGTAAGAATCTCTAGGATTATAGGGTGGAGAAGCATTTAATTTTTTTGTATTGAACAAACTTAGAATTGATAAATAATTTCAAGAGAATGAAAAGCTTCATTGGATGAACAATCGTATAGGATGAATTAGGATTTGAATGGAAGAAAATTAGTGGATGAATTTGATTAAATTTGGATGATTTTTCATTCATGGATGAAAAACTATTATAAATGAATGTTAAATATTGATGAAATTCTGTATTAAATAATTAATAATAATAAATAAAATAAAATAAATGAGACAAACAATTTTTTCTTGAGTGTGTGTGGCCTTGTATGGTGGTGTGGTCTACATGGTGGATTGTGAGTGCTTAAGTGTGCATTTAAATTGTTAAAAGATTAATTTCTCTTAATACAAAGTTGAAATAATTTTTAATTAATCACTCATAAGTTAATTAGCATTTGTAAATTAAATGAAATCATCTATTAGGATGGTTATTTTATTTCAAAATTAGAAGGTTATTAAGCTTCTTGGATATTAAATTGAATTCTAATCAACAATTGTTAGATCTTGGATAATTTAATTGTTGTAAATTAGAATAGGCTTTCAACTATAAGGAGTTATTTTACTTTATAAATAAATAGCTATAACTTCTAAAATTCACATGGTTATTTTACTTGTTGTGAATTAGAATAAACTTCCAACTAGTGTAGGTATATTTTAGCTCACAATTCACTTGTGGCAAAAAAAACTGATGTTTATGATATTTGATAGTTAAAAATAAAAATCATAGCCACAATATTTTTCATGTGATGTCTAAGCAATTTGCATTAGTCTTTCTAATGCTATTTGGACATCTTCTGGTCTTTGTTCAAATTCTTGAATCTTAATAGCTAAAAGTTCTTCTTTATTATCAATTCATCTTTCCATAGTAATACACTTCAAGTTGGTACTTCTCCTTCAATTGCCATAATAGATTTTTTACCAATCACAAGTTTAATATGCATATATTTCATTATTGAACTATGAGTTGTTTGATCAAGCTATAATGCCAATAACAAAAGTTGAAGCCATTTTCTTACCCTTCCATTATAAGCTTCAATTAATGCTTTTACAATTGATAGATGACCAAGTTCACATTTTGCATTTCCTTCTAGATTATAAGTACTAGGTAATAATAACTTAACTCCTTATCTTTCAAAGAAATTACAATCTTCTTATGTAATTAATTCTCCACAATTTGCAATGACCTTTATAACACATCTATAGTGAAAAATAACATCTTTAAGAAAAAACCTTCAAATTTCTTCTAAAGACTTTGTTCTTAATGTTCTATCTTTTACTTAGTTTGATAAATTTTTACAAGCCAAGATCCAAAAATCAAAAGCAACATGTTTAAATTTTGGATTTAATAATTTAATATAAGCAATTCATCTTACCATTACAATATTGGATGTTGAAAAATTAATAATCATTTGAAGCAATTAAAACAATCTATTCTAATTATTATTATTATATCAATCAAAGAATCTTTTTTAGCTTTTATAGCCAAAATAACTTTCTATAATTTTCTTTTTACTTATGTATATGCTTGTTGGCAAGTATTTAAAACCTTAGCTCCAAATCAAATTGCAAATCTATTTCCATTCAAATCATCTTAATCTACAATACATCTAATAGCAATAGAATTAGTATCTACAATAAAAATTACTTGTCTATTATATTCATAATTAATTTAAATTTTTTTTGAGGTATTCATAATAATATCTTTAGCCTTTTTATTATTTTAGTATACTTTTTTAATATTTAAATTAATAAATTTTATATAAAAATTCATATAATAGATCCACTATATAAACATAATGAAGAATCTATATACAAATACACATGCATTCAAAAACCTGTGTATTTTTGTTAAAAAGTTACATATATCCTTCATCTTTTCAATTACATGAATTTTGCTTGGATCTAATTTTCGTCCAAAAATTCACATAAATATCCAATAATCACAACTTCTTATATTTCAAATATAGATTTTGTATTAGATAATGTAAAATAAATTTCTTTAAACCAAATTAAAATATTTTTATAATTTTGTATATGATCAACAACATACTTGTAATATTACTTCTCATCCAAAGTCTTATCTTTTTTTCCCTCTTTACATCCTTTGATAGGAATGTTATCTTCTGAATTCCACCAATAGATCTTAATTGGTAGAATTATTAAAAATATAGATTTTAGTTATTTAAATATAAAATATTAATATTAAATAATATTTTAATAATCTAAATAATTATTAGAATTTAACAATTTTTATAGGATATAGGAGTCTTATTAGAAAAAAATATAAAAATAAAATCTTAGTAATTCTTAGAAATAATTATATTAGTTGATTTAGTATTTTTACTTATTTTTTAATATTAAGGATTAGTTATTAAGATCAATATCTATATTGGAATTTTACCTATATTTATTATTTATTAAAAATCTAAAAATATTAGTTAGTAGTTAAAAAAAGTATAAAAAAGAATCTTATATCTTTTTAATTATTTATATTAGAAATAAGATTTTTAGTTGA